ACAGGGTGCCGGTGCTGGGTGCCGGGTGCTGGTGCTGGTGCTGGGTGCTGGCTGTGCGCGTGGTGGAGACAGGGTGCCGGGTGCCGGTGCTGTGAGCTGGCTGTGCATGTGGTGGAGACAGGGTGCCGGTGCTGGGTGCCGTGAGCTGGCGTGCCGGTGCTCGGTGCTGGTGCCCGCTTCTGACAGTGAAGTGCAACCGCCGCTTCTGACAGTGAAGGGTGACAAACCGCTGCGTGTAGCAGTGAAGGGCGACCAACCGCCGCTTCTGACAATGAAGTGCCAGCAGTCATGGGCCGCATGAACTTATGCGCGCGACATCATACGGTGTTGTCGCTTGAGCGTTCTTTGTCTATTAGCGCTGTGGGGTATTTACACTCTTCAGGGCTTGTTTTGGCCGACAGCTGTGTCAAGGGCTGTACTGTTTGTGCACACGCATACTTTTGTACGTGTAGTGTTCTATGCGCAACATCAAGCTCTCAACCGGCCATTGTTTCAGCATGCCTTGCCGTTTGTGCGCGTTTTTTGTGAGCATAAACTTATACGTGCAAGAGCTTAGAACGGCCATATCGTTCTACAAATCGTTGCTTCAAGCATGCTACAAAGTCAATAGTGGCGCTGGATACTGCCTGGCCTTGGGCCAATGACACTTACGGGCTTTGCTGTTTGCGCGCATACTTTTGTGCGCATAAACGTATACGCGCAAGATCATACGTTGTTATTCTCCAAATAGGGACAGCTATGGGGTTCTTGCTGCAAATAAGAATGAGCTGGCTGCGCGCGCTTTCGAAAGGGTGTGCTGGCTGAGCGCCGCTGCCAGTGTTGTCAGCTGGCAAAGCGCACCGGTGCTGGTGTCAGCTGGTTGTGCGCGCTGTGGAGGTGCCGTAAGCTGGCTGTGCAGGCTGCATGCATTCTTGTTCCAGCCAGTCGCATGTCAACAGGTCGTGGGATTCTGCCTAGCTATCTGGGTCTATGCTGGTGTAATTTTTGGTGGCAAGATGATCAAGGTGCAGCACCAGTGGTTTGAAATCGGGAAATCGGGGAGGTGCAGATAGAAGTGCTTTCCAAGTGACGTGATTAGCGGGTCCTACATACTTTGGGGTTGAGGTTCTATCTGAAGGGGTTGGTGTTAGTCTTGTGTTACTCTTACAATCTCTATTTTCTCCCCACTGGAATCGTCCATGCTAGAGAATATACAAGTTTGTTTGGGTCTCCTTCATTAGAGGAGCCCTTATTGCACGTCCTGGAGCTGGAAGCACAGGCTGCAGCACCAGCTCCGCAGATTGGCATTTGGTGCCTTTGGATCTACAACGTTGGCTGCTTCCTGGCCGGGCTGGGCATCGCCAGTGGTTTACCCCTGGCCATTACCGAGGATGTTCAGAAATCCCTCTATGGTGCTGTAGTCTTCTTTGTCTCTGTGATGCCCAGCTTCCCACCCTTCGGCTTCTGGCATAGCCACGTGTATTTTGTTGATTGGTATCCCCTGCTGCTCTGGCCCTGGGTTTGGCGTTCCTGGCTCCTGCGGCGCCCCATTGGCGCGCGGGGCCAACGCCTGCACGGCCACGCAGCGGCGCGGGCGGCGGCGCCGATGGAGCTGGGTAAGGCGGAAAATGCAGAGATGTGAGCCGCTGAAACGTTTTTTGTTCTTTTCCATAGGGTTCTATCACTGAAATTCATCTAGGGCTTGGCGCTTTGGCGGCTGCAGAGCAGTGGGCCAACTGCGTGTGTTTTACGCGCCTTTAGCACGGACAGTTTGACAGTGCTCGGCTCAAGTCAGGTCTTGCATGAAGGGGTTGTGGGTCAAAAAACATGTCCCAAAGCCATCCGAAGCCATGTTGGGGGAAGATTCCCAAGCAAGCGGTATTTTCACCAGTATGTCGGATACTTGATTTTCACCCACAGCCACAAAACATGGGTTGAAATGATCCATGCTGCAAGATCGGTTGTTCACATGCTTCGCATTGCGCCGTGTGAACTGCAGGCTTGCATAGCAACAAAAAACAAAAATCTCGTTTTTGCGTTCAATTCGCCTGTTTTGGGTGCTTCGTTTTTGTGTTTTAAGTCGGTGTGAACGACTGCGCTCCTGCTCTCCCCTGCGGCAACCTTGTCAGCTGCCGAAGAAGGAGCGATGGTCTAGGCCTTCTGCATGGTGGGTGACTTGGGTTTCTCCTGCTGATTTGCTTTTGGGCTATGTTCACACCAATGATTTGTAAGGTTCTTGCAAGTGACCCCTTCGGTTTGCAGTCAGAAGCCGAAGGCAAAGATCGGCGAACGCGTGCACAATCATGCAAAGGCACAGCCTTTTCAGAGGCTTTGCGAGGAAGATGCTGGAAGGAGTTTGATCATTGGTGGTGTTGGTGGTAGAGACTGTAGGCGAGTTTCTACCTGTGAACCTCAAAACGGCGGAGTCATAGGGGAGACGTTCTGGAGCAGCCGGGAATGGGGACAAGAAGGTTTCCATTTGGTATGACAAGAGGGGATTTGCTCCCCCCGGTATGGGCTCCCACACCGGACCCGGTCAAGCACACCCCATCCGAAGGTGTGATAGGTTCCTCAGTTCTTCTCCTAATGGGGCCTGGGCATTCAATGCTTTTCATCGTTTTGGCCAAAGACCACTAAAAATGACTACATTGACATGTCGCTACGTAGCGAATGGACCTTATCACATGCTACCATACATTCCACCTCTTACTTTGAGGTAAGCCCTTTTTTGGAACGGCCAGCAACTGGCTATCAAGCTTATAACGTGCCGAGAGTCATTTCTGCAACACCCAACATCTACCAGGATGATCCAGGATGTTTGTCCTGGTAGTAAGATGTTGTAAGTACAATTACCATCAATCACCAATGATAAGATGTTACTCTCACGACGATACACGTTCTTCCGAGTTACTGTCACCGGTCGTTCGCATCACGTTCGTCTTTGGTTCCTTCCCGCCCCTCCGAGGGGGGAAACCCCAAGGTCGCGGTCTTGTGAGCGGGTGACACGGCTGCGCCAGATCGGCCACGTTGCTGAAAAGAGAGATCTCTCAGTTGGTGTGTGGGGGGTGGGGGAGGTGTTGCTCCAAGACCCTCAGAGAACCAAGTTACATCAGCAAGTCTGGGACATCAGCGCTTCAGGTATGTGAGATGCGTTTTGCAGGTGTCCGACAGGGAAGGTTTTCATTTGTTTTCTCTGCAGGGAACCACGGGAACCGCAGCTCGAGTGAGTGGAAGAGGGTTTTGGTTTGCTCGGTGTACTGCGGCCGCACGATGCATCCAACTGCTCCAGCTTGAAGTCAGCATACGAACGCAATCCAACGAGCAAGGCCGCGGGCTAAACGCTCCATATCTTCAAGGTCATTAATTCTGTTTCTTTTACGGCTCAGGAGGTACCACATCGGGTAAGAAGTCATCCAGGACATCACAACAGCCACTGTTGTTATGATTTATTCCAGATTCGAAAGAGCAAGTCCTGACGGAGGCACCCACTCCTTTCGTTGCTTTTCATGCCAAGGTGTCAAGACAAAAGACCTATGACCAAGATTGACACGGACCTATGACCCAAGACCCAAGACCTCAAGCATGTCAGATGTCCCGTTGATCTTTTTGTTCCCCGTCCACTCCTCGACCCCGAGCCCGTCCGGATGCGGCAGCGCGCATGTGGCGCCGCCGGAGCCGCAGTCCGAGGAGGTGCGAGAGCGGTTTAGGCGCGGAAAGACGTGGTTGGGGCGCGGGGACGAAGAAGGGGGAGAAAGCGTCTTTCTGAAGTTTGGGGGGTGTTTTCACGACGCTCAAAGCGCTACCTTTCTTGAGCGCCTGGTTGGTTTGGAGTTGCACAAGTTGTATGGTTGTGGTGTTTGGTCTGGCTACTCTCTGGTTGGAGTTGTTGACAGGTCCAGCCAACGGTGGTCAACGGTGGAACGCTCGACCGCCGCTCAATCTGGCGGTGGAACGGGGTTCGAAGTTTCCATGAGGAGTGTTTGGTAGCCGTTGCTGTCTCTGAATTCATATTCAGGGCTTTTCATGGCTACCAAACACTCCTTCTGCTGAGAGGAGCACCCTCTTTGAATAGATGAAGGATCGACTTTCGCATTTTGCAGTGATTGGGCCCAAGTCCCAAGGGTTTGTAATGATCATTGCCACAGATTGGGACACTTGATGACCCTTTTTGCTTCCGTCCGGTCCGCAGGTGATGAGGATCTGCAACAGGCGATCTTCGATGACGGGCGCGGCATCGCGCGCCTCCTGGGCATGTCCAGGTGGGGACCGGACCGCCATGGCAGATGGCGTCAGTGATGGAGTCTTAAGTGTGTGAAATATGGAGACTGATTTTTGTCTCATGATGGGCGACTGATTCCATTGGGCTGTGTTTCAGTGCCACACTGTGGAAGACTCGGTGCAGTGACGGCTCAGCGGCTGTGTTGCCCTGCATTGATAGTTTTGCGAGAGAATCCGAATGACATTTGCTGAAATCTGAAGTGGCACCAAGGACCAAGGGTCTTGGGTTTCTGCTAGAGGATTTATGTCCAGGGATTTTCAGCCAGGAAGTGCACTGGAGGTGTCGGCAGCTAGACCACTGACGTGGGGCAGGGCCGGCTAGTTTTGTTGACGGGGTTGAATTCAGTCCACAGACAAGGCCCTCCCTTAAGTATTGATCCAGTGAACACCCACTGACTCACAAAGTCTTGGGCCAGAACCCACGGGGCCGGGCCGGGCTAATAGTTAATCATACTCTGCGGTTGTTACACCATACGTTATAAAATTTACTTTCATGCAGGAACCCAACTGGTTGGGTTCAACAACGGCCCCGCAGCATTTTTTTGGTTTCTCACGAACTTCATCACTGGCGTTGTGAGATCAACACTGTCTTCACTCCAATCCCACCGCCTAGTTTTGGCAACACCACATAGAAACCGCTACTTGAGTGTACCTTCTGTTTTTGTGAGGCCCGAGGGCCTCTTGGAGGCGCGGCGTGCCCAGCTGCTCAAGAGCGGCTTCAGTTGCCGCAGGTCCCGAGGCGGGCGCTTCGCACAGGCGCGGCCGCCGGCGAAAGACGCACATGTTGGGAGACCAATTTGGGTTGATCTGTCCATCCCTAGCAGATCCCATTTTCACCCGACCTTTCCAATTATGTACAATTACAAAGCAACATAGCCCCCGCATCAAGATGGACATTTTGGCTCCCATTGTCTTGAATTGCAAGTATCCACCATTAGGGAGGCATCGTTCGAGAATCTTGGGATGGATTGGAGAAAATGTAAAGGTTGAAGCAGTTCGCTCTCACAATTTTTTGAAACACCATGACTATGGCTACAAAAGAAGAATTCGCGAATCAACCCCTTGCCCAGAAACATGTTTGGCCTAAACTCTTTATTTCCTATCAGGTGCCCTCCTTTTCTATGATCTTTTTGGCGGACACATCTCCTCGCGGTCCGGTCCAATCTGAGTTTTGTCTCGCTTTTGTAAGCAGCTCAATACAGACAGAGCGAGCAGCTCGCTCGGACAAGGCTCCGGGACGAGGCTCCCAACAGGTGCTTCCGGGGTTTCTGACCCGTTTTCGACCCAAAAGATGATCCAAACCCCCAAGCAGCGCGAGCCCTCGTCCCGCGACGTCCCGCGACGGGACTCGGCTTTTTCGGGTTGGAACTAGTCGAAGAGGTGGAACGTGAGCCTTTTGGGGTCAGCGAAGGGCTCTACCCGGTGGGCGGGTGTGGGAGTTGATATCGCTCAGTGAATCTATACTGTATATTGCTCTGGGACCTAACGATGGCTGGATCATTTCATGATATGTCATGTCCATACTGATACGTTTTGAACGTTGTGTTCAATCTAATTATATAGTGGCTGATCCAAATTCTCCGGGTGGGTCATTTGCTTGCTGCAGGCATTTTGGCAGTTCTGGAAGCGCTTGTGTCGCGGGGAGAAACCCAAAGAGGTGCCTCCCCTTGAGAAGGCAAGTGGGATGTGTTATGTTGGAAGCGGTGGCACGGGGTGGGCTACATGAGCCGTTTCCATCACGTCCCAAAGTTGTGACAGTGTTGCGAGCTACTCGGCCACCAAGCGGTTCTCATATCCTTCAAGCGGCGATCAGATCGCGGGAATGATCCTTAAAACATGGAAGAATCTGTGAAGCTTCCTTGTTACCAGTATGGATGCCCTTGTTGCTAGTAGAGATGCCCGGGGGGTTGGACACTTCATCGATTCTGGAGCTTTGGGGTGGTTCATACTTGCCGAGGGCGAGGTGTTCCTGAACGAACACAGTCTGAAGGCTGATACGGTGGTTATTAAAAAGGGTTTTGGAAGAGTTGCACATATCACTGCAGTGACGCTTGTAATACCTCAAGAACTTCTAAGAAGTGAAGTTCCCCCAAACTCTAATTTGATCTCAGACTTCTTTTGTCGGTGACCTCGTGCTGGCATCCCAAGTTCAAGATAAGCAGTGAGGGGGAAGGGTGAAGGGTCACACTCAATCGCAAAAGATCGACAACGAATCAGACGTGCTCTCTAATTTGAACATGTAAACATCTCACCGCAGATAGTCAGTGGGCAAGCGGTCCAGACTCCAGTCGCCTCCAGACCTACATCATATCATCATATCATCATCATCATCATCATCATCATCATCATCATCATCATCTTCTTCTTCTTCTTCTTCTTCTTCTTCTTTCTTTCTTTCGAGACGCCCTCTGGTCATGGAGGTAGCGTTGACCCCTGCGGGAACTGGGTCAGGCACGCTCCGTGGAGCCTTCCACGGACCCTTAGCTGAAAGATTTGGCTAGCTGCAATGCCAACTGTTGGCTTTCTTCCGAAGCCTTGGCATACTGAGCTGCCCTCAAAAATCTATTCAACACTCCAAAATTCAGCAAGCACGGACAGGTATGTTCGTCCAAAGGCTCCTTTCGAGCATGATACGGATGGCAGGCACAGACCCGTCCAGGCTTGGCCTCCACCATGAAATCCTGCATTAGGCCCTCAGCCAGCTGCTCAGCTGCATGGAAGTGCTCTGCATGCTGCCGGCGCAAATGCTCCAGGAGGTTCATGGGCTGCATGCTGCACAGCACGCAGGTGAAGACCAGCTGCCGGCAGACATCCGGCCAGCGCAGCAGCAGTCCGATATCGAGATCGTCGATCGATTTCAGCCAAGTCGCATTCCAAGGACATCCAGGAGGCGCTGCCAGGGACAAATTCTCCAGCATTTTTTCACGGGTCAGCAGCGCCATGGTGTTCTCGACCGAGGGAGCAGGTTCGGGATCGACCAGCATTGCTCCTCCGTGTTGGCACGTCAACCATAGCAGGCAACAGTTCCTCAGTGCCGGTTCCGGAAGTGAGCATTCGATCGTTGGAGGGGCGGCGTCATCGAGCATGAACCACTGTGTTCCAGTCCAAACTGCCGTCCTATAGTGGCCAGAGTGAGGATCATCACCTAGGTGAAAGGACATAGCAACCACCTCATAGGGAACCCTGTCAATATCCATGGAGGAGTTCGTGAAGTAAGGAAGGAAGACAGGTGAGGTCCATTGTAGTTTCTGAAAACTTTTGTGCCCCTGTTGATCAAACCGATCGATTTGAATGCACAGCAGATCTGAAACCCCCGCAAGTGCTTGTAGACCATACGATTCCAGGCTCCAGGTGGTGAGCAAGTCTTGCAGCTCTGTGGTGTCACCATTTCTGCCATCACAGAGGTAGAGCCGCATTGGGCAGTAGTGAGATCCACTATCTACCGTTTTGACTTGGTCATCAGCATCCACCCTGGCTTCCCAGAGATTGCTGAGGAAATTCGGTGCTACCAGTGAGAGCAGGTAGTGCGTGAAGTCAACAATGTCATGCTGTTCGAAGGGGCGCTCCCATGTTTGAATCAATGACAACCAAGGTCCATTGGACCAAAGCAGCAAGGGTTCAGCAGGAGTGCTGGACAGCATCAACTCAAAAGCTTCCGGCAAGATGGCCCAGTGACAAGCAATCAAGGGGCCAACCTTGATGGATCCCCAAAGCAGCCCCTGCACCGCTGCGTTCATGTAGCAAGCATTGCCTGGGTTGCAAAGTCCCCTAAGGTAGCGTCCATCGTCCAGGACTACATGTTCTCGAGAAGGCGACCCAGATGTGAGGCCAGAGGAGTCCGGTGGTGGGTAGCTTGACGCATGCGGCCCAGAATCAGCTGCCAAACTCCGGAGTGAGCCAGTTCTTGCCAAATTGCATGCATTTCTGCTGATTGGCGATGAGTCATGGCCAGCGTGAGTCTCCATGGGATGACCTGCGGTTGAGCCGACTGTGCGTGGTTCAGGCTCTGCTGGATCTGTGCATTGGGGCGGAGTGCCCCAAATCTGATGATCAGGACGTGCTGCTGGAGCAGGGCCAGGATCTTGGTGAGCTGATTGAGAACGTGGTTCATTGGCAGCGCTTGTCGATCCGTGTCTGTTTCCAGCGTTTTCTTCTCTGGATTCCATTGCATGAAGCTGAAGCGGAGGTCGTTGGCGTTCTCCCCCAATGTGAGGTATTGGAACTTGAGGAGAGTCTGCACTAATTCTTCTTCTGGTCTGGCGGCTTGTAACTTCCGAACTCGATTCAGCAGTTCCTCCAGGAGGGTTCGAAGTACCTTGATCTTGAGAGGGAGGGCACGATCTTTTGGCTCCGTCAGGTGCCAGTCCTCGGTGGCCTGCGTCATCTTCACCATGATGCTCCCTGGACCTAGGCTCAAAAAAAGCATGTAGTCCTGCTCCATGGCCAGTCCTCTCAGCGCGTCCTCGTGGCGTAGTGAAAGTCTTGCCAGTGTCTTCACGATGTGAGTGAGATCCTCTGTGGCAGGTGTCGAAGTCTGAGTCCTTCGTGTTTTTCCCTTTCCCTTGCCCTTGTTGGGAGTGTGCTCCGCCTTCTGACGTTTGGACTGGGGCTGGGAGTTTTCGTCTTCCTCCTTGGTGAGTACCTTCAGTACCCCCCACATTTGTTGAACCTGGTGTTGATCTTCCTCCATGTCCATGATGTAGACGACAAAGCAGACCAGCAAGTTGGAGGAGGATTGGGCACTCGTGAGCTGCAGTGATGTGCAAAGTGCATACTGAGCATTGGTGTGTGGATGGGGTCATATCCAGCAAGTATCTATAGAACAAAGTGCCTCGAGTGTAGTCCCGGGCATGTTGATGTCGAAGGTGAAGATACATGTCATGTGCCCCCACCGATCGTCCACACAATGCGCAGCATTGGCTCAATGCAGCACAGAGATCTGGAATGCTGACAAGCTTCGATAGTTCACCTTTGACCAGCCACTCATCCATCTCTGGGTAAAGGAGATGTAGAGATGGGCACAGAACCGTGAGGTCCAACTTGAGGGCCTGAGTGAGGATGGTAGCTGTGCTCGAGTTTCGAAACTTGTGGAGGTCGTGGTGCACAAAGAGGGCCAGGTGGGTGAACAGGGTGCAAACATGTGGTCCACCAGGAGGTCGGGTGCATGTACAGCCCAGCTTGGCTAACGCGGTCTTGGTTTGCAACCATTCTGCATATTTGGTCAGTTCAGTCCATCGATCTCCGTGCTCACTGCCCAAATGTCGAAGGAGGGATGTTGAGCTTTGGGAGAGATGTCCACAAATCCCACAGCGCAGGCCTAGTCGTCGAACCAGGCTTTTGTACCCGACCAAGTGGTCAAACGTCCCACCACTGAGTCCCGCCAAGATCACGGGATGGTGCCAAAGAAAAGGAACTTCGGCATGGTCCTGAATGAAGGTCTCGCATTGATTTCCGTCGATGTGCATCTTCAAGGCCTTCAGAGTCAGGAAAGATGTGTCACAGTGGCTGCATTTGAGTTCACCTGGGACCTGATCACGTAGAGGTTGGAACGTGTGCTGCACTGTGGTGTGAGGATGCTGCAGACTGAGATGCTGATGCAGCCCGGCCGCAGTAGCAAATTCACTGCCACAGGTCGTGCAAGTGAACTGTGCCTGAGTCATGTGAGGACCTGGCAGGATAGGTTCAGGTGCTTCAGGATGTGCCTGTCTAAACTTGCGATCACCCAGAGCCAACCCAAGTTGTTTCATAACGGCACAGGTGTGTGTCTTTGACTTGAACTCTTTCTTGCAGAATTCACATGGTGATTGAACTCGAGCTCGGGTGATGTTAGGAAGAACCTGATTGACGCAGCCAGCCGCTTCTTGGTGCTCTCGGCTGACATGTGCACTCATTTGTTGAGTCCGAGCGGCCCAATAGCCACAGAGTACACATCTGTGGGTCAGGAAGTTGGTCAGATTCCCGTCCTCCTTGAGCAGCTGCAAGTCTCCGGAGTCATAGACGTCCAGCAGACGTCGTTTGTGCTGCTGCAGGATCACTGGCGGTGCCTTAGTGGGGTCTAAGCCCGGACAGGAGCCGCTTTGGATATGGTATTTGAGGTTTTGCCAACTGATGAAAGCAACACCGCAGTGTCTACAAATAGTGCGTCCACCAATTGTGTCTCGTGCAATGCTCAATGTGGGTCCTTGATGGACTGCAATCCCATGGACGTGAATCAGGTGTCGATGTAGAGTGTGTGGGAGTTTGAACGTCATGCCACATGTTTTGCATGCCATGCAGGCCTCCGCCAGCTGTTGTGGATCATCTTGCTCCGGTTGGGCCATGAAGTCCTGCAGCCAGAGTTGAGTGAGCTCTAGCGCTTGTTGCAAATGCAGAACTTGGATGTTCCTCAATATGTCATGCTGTGACAGGTTCTGGCGTCTCTCCTCCCACCGTGTGATCTGAGATCGGAGTCGACGAGCAAGGGCACCGATGGGGTGCTCAAGTCCATGCGTGCGCAGGAATGCGCGATGAGAATTGTTGGTCAAAAAGGAGTGGTCACCACCAATCTGACGAAGTTGTTTCATCAGTTGCTTGTTGAAGGAAATCATGGTTGAATCCGTCACTCCAGTTGCATCAATCCCGTAGAGGGATATGGGGAGAATGCACGTATACCACAATTCATATTTCTGACTCATGCTGATGTGGTTCCCCTTCTTGAACCAAGGCAACAATTGACGAAATCGATGTGCACAGGCAGCCAAGCGGTGCTTCATGGTCAGGAGCTGGGTCTGTTGATAACTGATTTTCACCCCCAAATAATCATGGGAAGTTTTGAGAGGGATGTCGTAGACGGTATAGGCTCCAGCAATCTGCATCACTTGATAATGTGTACGACTGCGCAGATATTGTTTTTGAACCTTGGATTTCTGAGTTCCTCGGAGTTCGAGCAGCAAGGCGGATTTGGTGAGGTTGACGGTCATCCCAAATGTGGTCAGCACATCTAGTACATGCCCCATGTATTTGATTCCTCTCTGAAACTCGTCCAGACTGGTGAAGCAAAAACAGAGATGACCATCATCCGCATAGAAGGTGCAAGAGGAATGCATCCATTCAGGTGAGGTGACTTTCTCGACCTCTTGCAAGATCAGTGCTACAAACGAGGCCCAGAAAAAGGGGGCACCGCGGCATCCTTGTCTCACGCCTTTGTATGTCGGCACAGTGCAGGAGTGGCCCTTGTAAGTCAGAATGTGCTTGGTGTCATGATGCCATTGCAGCAGTATTTCTCGAACAGGAGAAGGAATGTGCAACAGCTCAAAAGCCTGTTGTAAAGAATCTCTGGGCATGTGATCAAAGGCCTGAGTGAGATCCAAGAACAACTGGCATCCACCGTACAGGTGAGGTTTTCTCCCCACAGATGGTGGGGCATCATAGCTAGCATTGTAGCGCCATCTATCACGAAGCTGCTCCACTGCCTGAACATGGGCAAAAACACGACATGTTGCATCCCAAGTACCACGTCCAGGCAGGTAGGCAAATTGAGGATAGGTGTACAATGTGGGTAGAGCATGAAGCCGGGCTTTGTTGACAAAAATTGACATAATGCTCTTGGCAATAGGAGTTTGAAGAGCGATCGGTCGGAGTGCACTGGGTTGACTAGGCACCTTGTTGGGTTTGGTCAGAAACACGATCCAACCGCTGCGCCATTCTTCCGGAAGATGTCCAACCATCCACCATTGTTGGCACCAACCTTCCAGCAGGGTGCCGATAGGAAGAGCCAATTCCTTCCAAATGAAGCTCGGTGCAATGTGATTGGGGACCGCCTTCCGACCCTCAAGATGTCTAAGTTCCAGAGCAATGTCGTTGGCAGTCACAAGTGGCTGTGTCACTGTGAATGAGGGTAGAGGAGCCGGTTGGGCCTGGTAGAGGTCTTTCATGTATGATTCCAGGAGTTGAAGTTCTTCAGCAGGTGAGAGCATCTGACCCTGGGGACCTCGAAGGTGTGGTTTCTGGGAATACGATTTGGGAGTCAGGTGGTTGACCGTTTTGAAGTAGTAGTGCGTTTGATTCCCAGCCCAGTACCAAGTAGCCTGGTCAATGATCTGTTGGACCCGGTCTCGTCGATGTTGAATTGCCCGTTTCCTCGTTTTCCGGCGCCATTGAGCCTGAAGGACAGCCCATTGCCAGCCTTTGAAGACCTCCAGTAGAAGGCATTGAGGTGTAGAGCTCCTGGTCGGTGCAGGGGCATGCTGCAGCGCCCATTGCCACTTGGTTTGCCACCCATCCTGAGGCAGTGGTTGCAAAGGACGGAAGTTTCGGCAAAGTGCAAGGAGCCCCTCGTTCAGTGCCTCGAGATCCGGAGAGTCATAGGTGTGGTTGTCCAACTGTGCATGAAGGTGTCCCACCAGGGTCTTCCAGTCTTGTGTGTCCTGTTCCCAATGATGTTGAAGGGTCTTACGTTGTGTCCTTGACAACCCTTGATGAGTTTGGCATGGAAAGAATCTTCTCCATGGGATGCCGCAAAGAAGGGGTTGATGATCATCATGAAGACCCATCATCAAAGGGAGGTCATGCAGGTAGGTGACATGTTTGGCTCTGGAATCTCCATCCCTCTGTTGAACCAGAACGTAGTCAATTCTGGAGGCCGCGTTTCTTGGTCCGTGGTAGGTAGCGGTCAGTTCTTGTGTCCAGGTGTTGAGGGCCACCAAAGAGTGATCCTTCAGCATCTGTAGGAGGGTGGAAGCATCCGGATGGCTCGAGCCTCGGCAGGGGCCAGCCGGGGTAGCAAAATCGCTGAGACCAACACATAGTGCCTGGTGTTTCAAGCTGGTGTTGAGGTCACCTCCCAGGATCCAGCAGTTCCGGCGTGGGAGCTGCTTTAGTTGCTTATCCATTTCATTCCAAAACTGCTTGCGGAGAGGACCACAATCAGGGTCAGCCTGGTTGTAGGGGAACTGGTACAGGTTCAGAATGTCAAGGTTGTAGTTGTTCATGTAAAGACGGACGTGTTGAATCCTACTTGACATGGGAGTAGACCATGCGAGCTTGTCCGATCCACAGAACCCCGTCCGGATGATGGTCAGGAGTCCTCCACGATGAAGAGTGGCACCTGAATGAAGGTAGGAGAAGTGTGCGTCGGCCCATTCCCCTGTAAACTGCCAGCCCGTGTCCTGAAGGCAAATGCAATCAAGATGTTGTTTATGAAGCCAGGCTCGAAACATGTCCCATTTGAGCATGCTCAGCTGTCCAATATTCCAAGAAAGAAAGGACAGTCGATGTTGGCGGAATCTGCATGAAGGTTGACGATTGCTAGACCAGTGTTCCGCTGGAAGGTGGGCCCGTGGTTGTGGGGGCTCAACTGTCAGGTTGGTTGGGCTCAGATGAAGGGCCCGGATGCCAAGTTGCTGTGCCGTCATGTATTGGCCCTTGTACCAAGTCACTCCGTGCAGCGTAGCTCTTTTCAAGGCTTTGAGATAAGCTCTTTTCCTGCACAATGGATTGGATTGAGTCCGATGTTGTGCCTGTGAGTGAATAGGGTCTATGCCATCTAGCTTCGTTCCTGTGGTGAAGCCATTGGGAATCTCATCATTGTGAACTCCCCCACCTTTGATGGCCAAGGTGGAACCCTCGGGCTGCCAGCTGGGAGCATGTGGATTGAACACGAAGGTGGACATGATCAAAAGCAAGAAGGTCCAGGGGTAGGTCCACCTCCACCCAAAGCTCTGGTGCCAGCTGGGCTGGGATTTGGGACCCAGCTGAGCGGACATGTACTGAATGGAAATGCTTTTGCACCGGCGGAATCAAAACCTCCCTAATCAATGTCAGGATCAGGAAGAACGGAAGGTGTACCGCACAAAGATCCCCTCCCAGCCAGGGTGCACCAGGGCGCTTCCAGGCCGCAATGAGGGCAGCGCCACAGCAGCCAAGGCTACAAGCAGCGGCCGCCGTTCAGGAGGGAGATGAAAGGGATCAGGAGCGCCGGTCCAGGGAGATCAAGATCAGCACGGCATGGCAAAAAGCAATCGCGTTCGAGCCGCTCACAGCCCTTATCATCATCATCATCATCATCATCATCATCCTCATCCTCATCCTCATCCTCATCATCATCATCATCATCCTCCTCATCGTCATCATCATCATCATCATCATCATCATCATCATCATCATCCTCAGCATCCCGCCACACTCACGATCTTCTGGGCAATTTGTTTCTGGGCAATTATCAGATGATTTGCCCCGGGTGTATTTTTTGACGACTTTTGAGCCGACTTCTGATCATGCCAGCCACATGCGCTGCGCGTGGCCGCGGAGACCGCTCAATGCTGTAAATGCCTGTGGCCTTCTGCTGTAAGGATTGACACTTCTTGTGGATTCTTCGACGCCACACGAAGTCGATTGAGCCCATCAAAGTCATTCAGATCCGGGGCCAACCACACCCACCAAACCCTGTGGGGCCCCAAGCTCGGGGGCCTGGGCGACCTCATCCCACCTGGAGGCCTCACGGTTGCTTTTGGCCTGTTGGGCGGCGATGTGTAGCTGGGACCCCGCCTTCGTGGCCTCCGATGGCTGGGAGCAGGCGGCGGGAGGGGCCGGAACACATATCAAAGTCGATCGTGCGTCAACTGACCGAAAACCGCCCTAAGACCCTGAACCTTGGTGTGTCTATTCCTCTATTCTAGCCCAGTGGTGACTGTTTGGATGGTACTGGTAGTTGCTTCACGGTCTTTTGGTGGGTCACAGACCATGAACGTTTGCCCAGCGGGTCCACATGGGTCCACTGTGTGGTCTTTTGGAACGCGAGGGTTTTTTTTGGAGGTGACGCCCCCGTGACGCCCCCGTGACGCCCCGATAGCGCGCCCCCGATGACTAGTGACGAACGGGTCCGTTCACGAACGGTCCGTTCGGTCGCTCACCAGAGTAGCTACTAGGAACAAGGACGCTACTAGGAGCAAGGGCATCGCTACTCGGAGCATTCTTACTACTAGGAGCAAGAAGCTACTAGGGGCTCCTGGCCTTACTAGGTCCGTTTGATCCGACATGAAACTGCCTGCCCTGCTGGCACCGACCTTTACGCACCTCTGGCGCAATGAGGAGAAGTGACCGGCGAAACGAGCGAGCTTTCACCAGTTCTGTTGCATAAGGAGGTCTAAAGTTTGCCACCAGCTCTTCATGTTAGTTCGCAGCAGTGCATCTTTTGTGGGGTTCCAGTCCCTCTACTTGGGTCTCCATGCACACATCGGTCTAGTCCCGTGATGCTGAAAACCCCTCTCGAAGCGTCGGTGCGTCGCGACGCGCCGGTTTTGGGCCGAAGAAAGCGCACGCAGGCGTCGAAGGTGGAAGCCAAAGCGCTTCACCTGGTGTTGCCATTGTTGAAAGAGGCCACACACCGGGGAGAGTGAGTGGAAGCTTCTTTTTGTGGCGGGTGGAAGGTGGACCCTGGTGGGAGTAGTGTGATGTGGGGGTGCAGGAGTCCGTCTTGAACAGAACCGGAGAACTTCTTTTGGGCTTGGTAGCTTTGGATCTGAGGACACACACACACACACAGGTTTCAGTAGCTTGTGGATAGTTCCGGAGATTCCCAGGATCGGGTGACTCGCCACCCGAAGCCTTGCTCGTGCCAGACACCTTGCACGGACTGGATGTGTAGAACCCCCTTGATCAATGCGGAACATGCGACGGCCAAACTGACCGAATCAGTCCCAGTTCCACCAATCACCGGAGGAGTGAGATCTGTGGATCTGGGCTTGGTGTCCTTATATATATAATAGTATATTAACAGTAGCTTCTTGTTACTACTAGTAAGGCACTTGTTACTAGAAGCGATGCACTTGTTCCTAGTAGCTTCTTGTTACTACTAGTATAATTGTTATATACTGTATATATCCAGCCCAAACGACCTGATCGGAACTCCAGCCCATGGGAAGTACCGCTCTTCATGATTCTTCAACCGAAAGGTGGTTGCTCGAAGACATTTCAACCGACTCAAAGTGGTTTGCTAGGTTCCAGGTGGTTTCACACTTTCTGCTGGGGACATGCCTTGGGAGGTGCCCAGCCTTTTTGGCCTTTTTGCCCTCCTGCACGTGACCGACATGGCCCCGGACTGTGAGGCTGGTTTCCGCGTGTGTTCTGTTTACTTTCACCAGTGGCTCTCCCTGCCTGGAGCGGTGAAAGGACGACCATCTGACTTGCTTACCCTCATCTCATGGCAGTCTTTTTCCAGCCGACGCAAAGATTCATTTTTGACTTTGCAAGGGAGAGTTGAGAGAAAGGCTCAGCGGTCGAGGCATCTTTCGGACACCTTTTTGACAAACCCTCGATTCGCTGCAATCAGGGGTTGGCTACACTGAAGTCCCCCACATAGACACTCTAGAGTCACCCGCATGATATGCTCTTTTTGCTTCCATGTAGTAAAAACATGTTGTTTGATCCAAGCTATGACGACCAGCTTTCCCCAGCGTTCCCCCGCTGCGCGCAACATGGTTTGCTCAAGCAACGCTCGCCTGTGACACGAGTACCGTGGAAACCGCCCACGGCACCGACGAACGTCACAGTTTTCGCCCATGGTGCGTGTTGCACCCGCAGAACCTGCCTTTGACAACATCGGCGTGCCATCGGAGATGGCCAAGGCGACAACCATGCCAATGCTCGCGATCAGACACGTGTCAGTTTTGAGCAATCATGATCATATACGAAAACCTTTGGCTGCACGCACCACAACCTTTTGGGTGCAACTGTGCATCTTTGCTTCAGTTTATCTCAAAGTAGGGACTCCCTCTCCCTCCAATACCTAGAAGAGAGACGTTCAGTTCAGGCTGGTCATTTGTCTCAGAACGGGAGACACTCCTGCCGTACACCAAATAGAAACGAAACGGCACACCCCCTGGTCCTGTGAGGCACCTGAGAGCCCCGGTTTGAGACGAGGGGTCTCAGCGCAGTCGCAGTCTGAGTGTTTGGAAACATGCTCAACGTTTCGTCGTGGTGTCAGCGCACCTGTAACAGCCAAAGAAGCGAGACTGCTTCAACGAGGCGGGTCGGGTGGGGAAGAACGACCAGGGAGTCAGCACAAAGCACAACCAGGGAGGCTCGAGTCTTTTGAGCGAACGAAATGAGAAATTGGAGGGTGCGGGGGGGAGTGGGATTGGGGATCATAAGGGGGGGTAATTTTCGGTGAGCTCGTGATGCAAAGGATGCACGATGAAGCTTCTTCGGGCACTTGCATCGATTTCGTCTGTTGGGGCACCGTCGTTCCTTTGGTGAAGAGTGGGTCCCAGGGGTCGAAGGAGGTCCGGTGGCTTGGGAAGGGCCTAAAGGTTACAAGAATGATCTGCACAATTGGTAGAGGACAGATTTGGCATCCTCAACTTGGGAACCATGTGAATACTTTAATAGCTGGTTAGGCTCTGAACATCATGGAGTAGAGCAGCCTAAACTACGCAGCGATACAAGCATGGCACCAGAAGTCCAGATTTCCCCGAACAAAAACGGGTGTGAACTGGTGGGGCTATGGCGTGCCATGACCCACTTCCTTTGGAAGATCTTTGCTCTTCTTTTCGCTGCTCCAGCGTCCAGGTATCTCCCGAGGTGTCTCCGGCCACGAGAACTGGAGCGTGTCCTTCGGCTGTCTCCGAGACATGTCCGCCGGGGATGCGCGACAGAAGCAGATGAAACGCCACATCTATATGAAGTCCTTCTTGCGGCAAAACGGCTTCAGAGGCCTGACTCCGAGGTTGTGGCTGTTTCCCTTGCCTTGCAAAGTTATGGGCTCTCACAGCCATCGCAAAGACAGGTTTGGAGGCCTTCTTTCATGTAGTAGTTGTGGATAGTTGTAGTGTGCTTGGGATGTGTGGAAGAATGTCAACCAAAATCATCAGAATGGCCTCCATTCCACGCAATGGAGAATCCGTTCTGTTTTGGTTCTCCGCTTCTTCCCAGGTTCCCTCAAATGGATAGCAGTAGCCAAGCAGAGAACCATGGAAGAATCACAAAAGCATCAGGTATATGTTCATACAGGAGCCCCTAGTAGCATCCTTGCTCCTAGTCCTAGTAGCGATGCCAGGAGCCCCTAGTAGCTTCTTGCTCCTAGTAGTAAGGCCAGGAGCCCCTAGTAGCGTTCTCGTTCCTAGTAGCGATGCCCTTTGTTACTAGTAGCGTCCGTGCTCCTGGTAGCGATGCCAGGAGCCCCTAGTAGCGTCCGTGCTCCTATACGCTTTAATCGTTCCATATTCTATCGACTACAAGATGACACATTTGATTTTGCACACCAGTCCAGTCTCCACAGGCCACAAGAAATCGGATGCTTCTACCGTTGCACTCGTTTTCTGCAGGAGCGAACACGGTGCGCCCCGGTGGGTGCTTCTACCGTCGAGAGAGTGTCTACCCGATCCACATCGCCGCCAAGCAAGGGGACTACGAGCTGGTGAAGATCCTTCTGGAGGTCGGGATCTTTCTTGGGATCGGTTGGGAGTGTCACACTCCAAAGGATGAGATTCTCACTTCTTTTTTTCTGTGAGTCACCCCTAGTGAAGCACAGCCGAGGGAGCTTGCTTGATCTAGGCCTTCGCCTACCGGGCCGTCTTCGCCCTTTGTGCAGGCAGGTGTGGACCCTGAGAAAGAGAGCAGCTTGGGCAAAACCGCGCTTGACTTCGCCCAAGAAGCCAACTTCCTGGGCTCCCACGAGATGGTCGTGACCCTGCTGCAGGGCCTCACGACGCGAAGCTCCTGAAGGTGAGGGGAGAGGGAGGGACCGGGGCCTCCAATGGGTTTTTCAGTGGAGAGGGAGAGGTTGGAGGTTGTTGGAACATGGATTGGGTTCGTTCAATGGACTGGTTGACGGGTGTGAAATGGCGAGAAGAGTGTATTTGTTTCTTTTCTTCGAGCCTTCCAGATCAATGAGGCTCTATTTCTCACGTAGTAGAGAATGACACATGTGCTTTATGTGTTTTTATGGGGAGTGCCGCGAGTGCCCAACAAGAAAGAAAAAACTACCCATGATTGAAATGGTGGGACTCCCAGCCTCCTCAATTTGTGTTTGCCTCTCGCATGGCACCGGGCGCCAAAAGACAATTGGTGGGGTGCTTTTTTCACCCACCATATACATGATGAGAGCTGGGTGACCTCTTTTGTTATGCCCAGGGTGACCTCTTTTGTTGGCTGGGGCTTGAGTGACTACCGAAACATGACTCGCGGGAAGCACTACCGGGAGTCAGGAGTCGGAGAGATGTTCCCTAGTGTGCCCTAGTTCCCTGCTGCCCAGGCTGGACGTGCAGAAGGACCACCGCACAGATGGTCTGATGTTTTCTCAAATCTGGCCACGAGATGATTGGCCATGGCAGGAAGATTCTTGGGTTGTATGCACCAATCTGGGCATTTTTGCCTAGTTTTCCATTTTCCACACCCATGGAATTGACAGCCATTCACCTCGCTTAGCACGGGCAAGCGAGGCACATGTCATAGTTCTGTGGGCTCTGAGCTTTGCAGCAAGGGTATGTGAGGCCAGGCCGAAGACATGCAGCAGGTGGTCAGGGGTGTAAGGAAGGATCAGAAGCCGCAATGACCCATGTTCAACGGGTTCCATTGGTCCAAGGCAGAGAGATGAAACCCTAACCACGACTGCTGGGCGATGTCGTGGCTTTTCCAACACCGTGGCTGGTGTTGCCACGACGATTTCCAAGCTTGTTGACGTGTTTGCTAACGCTTTCCAAAGCAGCAGCTAGCCTTGGATTCAGAAAATAGCATGAAGCCAAGCTGGCGCGGAAGAGAAAAGTGCGATCACGTCCTTTTACCCGTTTCAAAGGAGTGCTTTTCCCAAATGGCCAGTGTTGATGTACAGAATCTTTGGCTCAGATGATAGCCATTTCTTGTGATTGTTTTTGAAATTGTTGTGGCACGCTCAGTCGTTGGCATCTGGCGTTCCCTCATGATTTGGAGACATATCCACATGTAAGCACAAGAGACCCCACATGGCGTTCAAAGCCACGGTCAGCCTGCTTTCAAAGCTTCTCAACATGTTGGATGGGATATGCTCCACTGACCGACCATCTCCACCCAGCTCCATCATCTCCAAAGCTTTCCGACACGGGCCGCTTCGCGCGCGCCGTGGAGCGCCACCAGCGCCAGGAACGCTGGGAGGTGAAGTGCGCGATCATGCGGCAGATGCAGCGGCACTTGTGCCTCGTTTGTGGGGACGGATCAAGAGGAAGATGACGGGAGATGGGTGGAGCAGGAGCAGCATACGTGGGGCCCGTTTTGGATGAGCTTTTCCGGCTTGGCTCAGGATTACTGAAGATTTTGATGTGGATTCGGTTGAGTCGCCCTGGCATCGTTGGTTCGCATGCTTGGTGACCTCCATGAGTCGTTTCCCAACTGATCGACGATGGTTGAGCGAGCTACTTTTTCTTTTGTAGATGAGTCTGGGTGGGCAGGCTAATCATTTGATGCCCATGAAGACATCACAACCTTGTACTCTTCACACATCTTGCGGGACCGTAGCTCTATGGCGGGACGGACTGCGCCCTCACTGGCATCCACACTACGGCGCCCGCGTAGGCCGGACTTCGTCCTCCGGGTAGTCCCGTCGTGTTGTTCCGTTGGTGTCGGGATGCTTATGGAACCCCACTTCGAACGCCCAGGAATGCTTCTGGCGCCACTTGCCCTGTTTGTCTAGAAGAGCTGGGTCGAGAGCCAGTGCCTTGGTGGAGGAGAGTTCCTGGACACTTCTCTGGACGGAAAACCCGGTCTGCAGACGGGAAAAGGAGAGACTTTTGAGACTGGTCAGAATGGTCAGAATGCCACATTTGCATGTTGGTCTTCCTACCACCATCTCATTGGATCTCATTGGACCTCATTGGATCTCGACTCATTGGAAGATGGTTTCGGTGGTTTCTGTGTCCAAAAGATGGTTCCCCCTGCGGAAAGTTATTGATTTATTTTTTTTCACCATCGAGATTCATGAATCCAGCGTGTCAACATCATGGAGCAAGTCAACGACTGGCAGAACCACCCAGCACCTGGTCATGGTCCTAGTGTGAGGGTCGGCCCGCGGGCCCGCACGATTCCTGCATAAAAACCAACCCTTATTCTCCAGATAGCTGCAGGCTATAGGGGTTCTAATTTCATCTAATTTCTCAATGGTGTGGCTCTGGTGGCTGCGTCATGCCAGGATGACATCCTGCAATGCCAGGGATGACATCATGTTATGCCAGGGATGACATTGGGTCATGCCCAGAATGACATCATGTCTTGCCAGGGATGGCATCAGGTTATGCCAGGGATGACACGCATCGTGTCATGCCAGAAATGATATCATGTCATGCCAGGGAGGACATGCTGTCATATTGTGCACGACACCGTGTTGTGCAGCAATGGTCATCATGTCGTTTGGGCAGCTTTGGCTGGTCCTTGCCGATCATGCAGTTTAACGTTTGTGTTGGGCAAAGCGGGCGCATTCAGCTGATCAATGTTGCACATATTGGTGGACTGGTCTGATGTTGCGTGCTGTGCCGTGCCGTGTACTTTGAACCTACACACCCGCTATCTGGGGCCTATGCCGGTGTAATTATCTTTTGTTTCCGCCCCTAAGAAGACCAAGGTAGTCAGTCATAATTGTAGGCCATCCCCATTAGGTTGGAGGCCATCCCTATTAGGTTGGAGGCCATCGCTAGTAGAGGCCACCCCTTTTGGACTGGAGGCCATCGCTGGTAGGTTGGAGGCCACCCCTATTAGGTTGGAGGCCATCGCTAGTAGGTTGGAGCCATCCCTACTATGTTGGAGGCCAGCGCTATTAGTACCAATTTCCATCTTTAGACCCATGCCAGGTGCTGCCAGGTGCTGTCTCTAAAGCAGCAGCACGCTGACCAGTGGCGTAATGTGTGACACCTTCCTGTTCCATCTCTCGCGAAAACAAGGAGCGGCGTTCCCACACGCAGTTTGAGGCGACACTCATGGTGATGCCCTGCTCTCATGCGGTGCATTCGTCCTGCTATGCCAGTGCTGTGAGGGCGAAGACCAGCGCCGGGCGATGCTTGATGTGTCGGAAGGTGGGGACTGCTTTCAGACCTGAGACGGCGGTGCGTTATTCCTTTTGCCGTGTTGGGGCAGTTGACATCTCGGATTTGGGAACATGAAGCCAAGGAACCTGAAAAGCATAGATGAGCAATGAACATCTTTTATTCCTTTTGAGTATCGAGTCTAATCCTCTTCATGTCCCCGGTGCATTCTCATCATAGTTTCTGAATGAGCTCAGCTCGTGAGAACATTCTGGAATTGGTGAACGTTTCGCGGGTGGGTAAGTGTAAATGATCAGTCAGAAGACGAACAATGTACCCGCAATCCTCTTGAGCCAGAGGTTGTATCTTACACAACTTCTTTCAGAAGTTCTTTAGAGAGAAATGTAAGTGTACGTTGGGTTTTTTTAGTGATTTGTTCCGGCAACCGGCAAAAGCATGATTTGTGGGTGCCTGTGCCAAGTCTTCCGTTGCAATCTTCTAAAGCACGGCCGGGCCATCTCAAGCAAAGACACTGGGGCTTAAACCAGTGAAATGGACCATTGTTTTCTTCAAGGGTCATACAATGTAGACTCTTGATTAATAACTTCAGCCATTTGAATTGAACATCCTCTTTGGGGGGTGTATGGTCCTCAACAGTCTACATTATAATCATCCATTTGACACAGAGAGGGTATAGCTCGTGACAGATCTTGTAGACTCGAGTAGACCGCGAAAGGCTGAAAGGGTTTGCGCGGGCTTCGGCTTCCGGTCGTGAGTTGGTGAGTTGGTTCTTTTTTTGGTGCACTGGCACCGAGTTGCGCTGAGTAGGTGTGCAACTGGTCCAACATCATCATCTCCAGACTCCTCCATGACTATCGAGGCGCTCCAGACTGAAGTAGGGCGCTCCCGAAGTCGCTGCGTACCCCGCTCGGTGGGGTCTCCCACGGTCGACGTGACTTCGGTCCGGTGTGTGTCCGAGTCCGACCGGACACCGGCGAAGGTTCCAAAACGAAGAACGGCGCACAGCACGTTCCAAAGCTTCTTTTCAAAGCGCTTTTTGCACGTTCTCCCCGCGTTGTTTGGGGTGCCGGCTTCGACCACTTGGCCCAGAGGAGAGGACGGGCCCACGGGCGTAGCTGCCCCTCCGTCTATACTAACATAGAGATGCGACAATGATGAGACAATGCCCAAATGCACTTTTGTTTTCAACTCGGTTTGTTGATGTTTGTTGGGGTCATCAGTTCGAAGGCAAACCAGAGACCGGTTTCTGCTCGCGGTTCGAGGGAGGAGCTCTCGAGGTCGGGGAAAGATGGCACAAATCGCATCCAGTCCCAGGAGACAATTGAGTATTTTGGAGATCTTCTGGGACACGTCGGTCTTCGCAGGTCTTGTGGAACCTCTGGTGTTTGTGTTTGAGTTTGAACACAGGCCTCGAGCCGTTGCTTGAACATCTCGAAACAGCTTTTTTTGTCCTCAGATGTTCGTTCGAGTTCCTCTGAACAGTTCGTTGCTGAGGCTTCATCCTCACGATGGTCGACGAAGAAGATTCAGATTGGCTCGACGCTGGACGAATGAGTTGGGCGAGTGGTGTGTCTCCAAACCGGTTTATCACATATCATATGGGTGTGTTATTTCCAAATAGCGTGACCCCCGACCAATGGGTTTTGGTCTATTTTCCTCTCAGGGGGGGTCTTTAGGAGGCCTAACCCGGAGACCTGCAGGTGTGCGAGTCTGTTTTGCCTTTCCCCTGCAAGGCAGTGAGGTGCTCCAGCTCTCGCAGAAAGCAGCATGATGCGTCCAGGTTAAAGCACGTATTGCCAGCTTCGTTGGTGGAGAAGCAATACAGGTGTCTCCACCTGCTGTGCAAAATGATTCAGAAAGTCTCTTGGGTACCCATTTCTCTCCTGATTCACAAATGGACGGAACCTCCTTCGTTCTGTGGTTCCGGTGGCCCGCCGCACGGATCCCACTGGCCCGAGGTCTTCGGCGGGGGGCCTCCGAGGGAGTTTCTGGTGGCGTCCATTTGTGCGGATTTGTCGGAGCACCTGCCCTACCTGCAGGCGGAGCACCTGGTGTTGGTGGGTTGTTTGGGGTCTGAGGAGTGATGCGATGTATAAAGTTGAAGAGTATTGATGAGCGTCTTAGACATGTGTGCCTTGATGTCAGTTTGCCTTCAACTTTCCCTCAACCCTAAGAAATGCGCGGCATGTCCATGAGAGCAAAACAGATGTAATTTTGAAGAAGAGCGCGATACGAGTGACAAGGTTTGGTAGTTTCGTGAGGATTCCGTCAGGTTGGAAAAGCTTTTCTTCGCGGGTGGGTTCAGGAAATACCTAGTTTGTGGGTGGGAGGCGTTCTAGTTGAGACAGTTGCACACCCAATACATTGAGCGATGTCTCGCCTCAACTGGTACTCGGTAGCCTTTGGTTCGGGTTTGAACCGTGTTCATATGTGTTCATGTGATGGTGTGGTGACCATTTGCATCTATCTTTGTTTCTGCATGCTTTGTTGACCTGAAGGAGGTCTCCATGACGATGGAGACCTTGGCCACCTTGACCCTTGGCGGGACCAACCCCTGCGGGAAGAGGGACAGCTGGAGCATTTGGAGTGAACACGAGGTGTCCCTGAAGCAGGTTGTATACAAGACCAGTAGCAGGCCAAAGGATTTCTCTATTGGTCCCTCACGAGAATCGGGAGATGTCCTCGCAATTCTTTACAGGTGTCAACATCCCAGTCTTTCTCCTTGAAGACCAGGTCCGGTCCCATGCGGGGGAACAAACCCTTGGAAGGACAGCCATGAGACATTGATCAGTCCCTCTCAAGAGTGAACATCCAGAGGAGTGCCAGAGCAGAGCTGTCGCCCGAACTCAGTGTCTGAAAGGGGTGAACTTTCTCCAAAAGACTTCTAAGTTCTTGTGGGAGCTGAACATAGTAGTTTTATTGTTCCTAGTAGTAAGGCCAGGAGCCCCTAGTAGCGTCCTTGCTCCTAGTAGTGATGCCCATTGTTACTAGTAGCATTCTTGCTACTAGGAGGTGGGGTGAACTAGTTCATATTTGTTAATCCTCGATTCATCCCCAGAACCAACTCAAAATTCCTCGCGGCACCGAGTGGAGCACGGCACCAGTGACATCCGGATACGCGCGGCTCGACGGGCTCGAGGTACTTGGAGGGGCAGGTGGAAGTGTCTCCCCAAGGCACCTGGATCGTGTCCAAGGAGTTGCTTCGGTGGCAGTTTTCATCAAATTCCGGCGTGGGAAGGAATCCGGAGTTCGAGAGGACGGGGAGGTGGGAGGACGCAACAGATAGCCAGAGTCACTCATTGGCTGCAGTGTTTGGATGCTTTCTGTACACAAGGATGAAAGCTATAGGAACAACTGTATTTGTAGAGTGCATGTGGAGTGCAGAGGGAGACGCTCACACCAAGGGGGCCATTTTGAGTAGGAAAAGAATCAGTTTGATTGGAACTCGATCTTCCAAATACAGGCAGGATCTCCGAAAAGGCTGACACAGGACACACCTTAACTGGGGTTGGTTGCTCTGTGGTCACACTTTGTCCACATTTCAGAAATACTTACCACTACCACCATCCACATCGGTCGACATCCACATGATCCACCATCCACATCGGTCGACAGCTCGGCGGAAACCGGCCCGAGGCTGATGCTTGGGAACCGCTGGGGGCGTGGCACCTTGGCCGGCCCGGGTGCAGAGCCTGTGGCCTCCAAGCCGCCGCACGTCGGGGTGGCCCAGCCAGCCCTCGGCAAGGCGGAGTTCAAAAGATCAAGCCAGGCCATGTCATCCACGTGCTTATTTTGAAAGAAGTCCTAGCCAGGTTCGACCTTCCATCAACTTCAACAAGAGGTGCTGGTGTCATTTGGTGTCACTTAAACTTGGTACTTGTTTAAGCTGCTTCATGCTGCTTCAAATATCTTCAAATCAACAGATCTCAGATACGACCACAAGCTCCCGGAGGGCTGAGATTTCTTCAACTGTTTGGATGCGAGTTTCTCCACCAAACATGGCCTTGATGGAAAGGCACTTGTTGCGTTGATTCGCTGACCTGCTCTCAAACAACACTCCTTTTGCCACCTGCGTTTGCTCAAGTTTAGGCACGCTTGACTTTGCACGGAGAGGTGTTTCGAGGTGCAACACGTCATCCGTCAAACCGCAGGATCTGTCAGGATCCCATCCACATGACCGTCCGTCAAACTTTCGTCACACGTCCGTCTTGAAACAGAAGATACGGCTCTAGGCTCTAGTGAGACGCAACTTGCTGAGCAAATATGGGAGTTACGTATATATATATATATATACGTCCTATGTCATGACAGCATCTCCATAGGTGCACCAATGACAAGGAAAGAGCAGCGGCTGTGTTCACAAGATCACGATCTCGTGCGATGCTCGCTGGCTAAAGACACGTACAGGTCCGGACCTGCTCTTGCTCTGTTGCCAGGTTTTTCTGGCCAAGTGAAACGGGCAATGGATGATTCCAGAGTTCGATCAATAGTGCAAAATTGCAAAGACTCTTCGCGTGTGGCACAGTGAATTTCTGGGAATCCCATACGAGGGAAGGAAATGTGAATGGAATTTCAAAACATGAGAAATTGAAATTGTGCCAACACCATCCAAGCAGTTGCGAATTGATTTGGTCATGAACCTGGTCCCATCTTTGTGTTTATATGTCTTTCTTCACAGCCCCTGCCGATTGGTTCAGGGTCTGGAAAGCCCTGAACCGAAAAAGAAGTTACCGACTCCCCGAGCCACGGTACATGCGTGGGATGCGTCGGTTTCTTGTTTCTCCAGGGTTTCTGTTTGGCTTTCTTTTGGGGTTGCGAAAGGTTTGCCACGCAGGGTGACCTGCCGTTGGCGACTTGCTTGATGACATGCCCCAAGGTTCGCTTGCCAGTGGCGTCTTCCTTAGTCTCCATCGCCAGTAGCGATGCGCAGGTGGGGAAGATTGGCCCCAGGGCAGTGGAACCATTTGCTGCGGTATGTGAGCTAGGTGAATACAGTCACTTCAATGCAGTAACTAGTCATTTTCTAGTCACTTCAGTGACTTGAGATGGCAATGGCAGTTTTGCTCGTTGGCGAACTTTTGTTTGTATTCTTTTAGACACCTTCTCAGGGTCTTGTTTTCTGCGTTTCAACCGTAGCAACATGAGGGAAGTTACTTGTGCGGGTAGGTGCCAAAAGGCTTTCATGTTGCGCTATAGAACAGTCCTAGCCCTTTCTCCAAAACAGCAAACAGCCTTTGATACACCTGCACTGGGGTTGCTGTAGTTCTTCAGTCAAAAATTGATCTCTTAGTCACGGCACACCTCGGCAATGCCCAAATAATGGGGTACTGTTTGGCAACGCCACTCGTGGTCACTCGCGGCCAGGTGTGCTACAATGAGTTCCAGATTCAGCAGCTTGGACCGGAGTGAAAGATGGGGAGATGCGTGAAAGAACTGAACGGGTGCTGGGTCCCTGCTGGGTCCCTGCTGGTGGTAAAACTAGCGCACATGGGTTTTGAGCTCGTGAGCTCAGGAAGCACACGGTGTCAGAGCACGTATTTCACCACGCAACAACCACCACAATATCATTAATTCCGCAGCAAGCAGGCAAAGAGGATCAAACGAAATTGCTTGGGGTTTCGTCCTGGTCCCAAACTCCTGCATTGTTACACTCGGGATCTCCGATCCACGAGCGTTTTCATCCGACATGAAGATCCAGTTCCCACAAGTTGGCAGAGACTCAAAATAAGCAGGGACGGTGAGCGCATTTTTCAATCCATCGTTGCTTTTGCGTTGCTTGTTCGTTTGGGTCCTGTGGCTTGAGTTCACCTAGATCCTTCCTCATCTTCTCAAACCTCGCCGTTCTGTATTTATGTCTGAAAGGTCATGTTCGCAACGAGCGAAAACACACGGATAGCTTCTGGAATCCAATATTGGATTCTTTCATTTGAATTGGAACTGAACATTTGTCAAAAGAGCCGAAATCGAGTGCGGGGCTGACGTGACTCCTCTTATCGAATCTCAGACGGACCGAAGCCTTTTGCTTTGGTGTTGAAATAGACTAGGAGCAAGGACGCTACTGGGGGCTCCTGGCCTTACTACGAGGAACAAGAAGCTACTAGGAACAAAAGGGCATCGCTACGAGCGGAGCAAGGACGCTATTAGGTGGAGGCCATTAAGTTCGACCCAACGACCTGCTTTCCATGTCCCCGTCAGCCTGCGACCGCCCAGGCAGGCAGGGGCTTTCAGCGCAGGGGCCTTGTTTGGCCTGATCAGCCCCGCGGACCAAGCAGTAATGACCTTTAAGGCGGGTGCCCGTTTCAATCGCTGTTGGACCTTTTTGCTTTTGGGTGGGTACTTGCGGAGAAGAAGTCATGAAGTCTTGCACGTGTTCTCTATGGGTAGTAGCGTATTTTTTTATGAATCTGAGCCACCATTGAGTCACAACAGCAATACCTAAAGTGCAGCCTTTTCCACGTCCTAGGAGTCCTACCGCATAGAGCTTCTGTTTTTTTTCTCCATCGAGCAGCTGACTCCCACTCTGTGCAACTCAACCCTCCCCCAGTTTGGAGGAGCAATGAACGATGCACAGAGCATACCAAACCAGTTTATGGTCATATAGTAGCGTCCTTGCTCCTAATAGCGATGCCCTTTGTTCCTAGTAGCTTCTTGCTCTTAGTAGCGATGCCAGGAGCCCCTAGTAGCGTCCTCGCTCCTATGATGTCATATGCACTGAAAAGTGATGCTAAACAAACTTTTGAAGCGATATGAAGTCATCCTGGCGTAGATAGAATATTGGCAAACCACTAGGAAACTCATTTCTCTCTCTCTCTCTCATGTTGCAACAGCAAGCACCCCCAGAAGGAAAGCACACTGACATTCATCTCTCTGGCCTACTTTATTGAACATTACTCTTGCTAGGTGCCGCTGCCCATGCAGCTGCCACTGGGCGGGAAGAGAGTCGTCAACTGGAAAGGGCCTCATTTCTCAAGTGTGAGGGCTTTTGTTTTGATATTGACAGCTTCAAGAGTTTCTTTTTGCGTTGAAGCTACTTAGACTTAGACATTATCAGCCAGTCATAAGCAGGGCAAATCCATCAAGTTGGGCTAGATACCAGGTTTGAACTAGACTTGTTGCTTGTGGGATTATCACGATAGTCATAGTACTATTGTGGTTCGTGCGGTTTGTCCATTTGTCCATTCTTTGTCAATGACCGGCTTAGGCCATCCACTCATGCTTGCCATGCAGACAACTGTAGTGTGATTGATCCGAGCCGCTCTTAGCTAAACCGGTTCGCGAGCATGTGCCGGACCGCTAAAGACGGACCGCTAGACAGGAGAACAACTCCACCCTTACCTTCCCACCATTTCCACCCCCAATTGCAGCACCTGCGCCTCCACCTCCACCTCCACCCCCATCTAAGCGCGGCGAACGTCACAGCGAACGTCACGCGCTCGGATCGGAGGTTTTGGAGCTCTGACTTCCACAAGTCCTTGGAGTCCAAGGGCCTTCCAGTTTGCGAGGACGTCGTTTCTAGGTCCAGGCCGTGCTGAGTCTATTGGGGAAAGGTCCAGAGCTTTCGGAGTCGAAGAACCTATATATTACTAGGAACAAGAAGCTAGTAGTAACAGGTGCCACGCTAGTAGTAACAGGTGCCTTATTACTAGTAACAAGAAGCTACTAGGAACAAGAAGCTAGTAGTAACACACCATCCATATTGTAATACCACAGATCGGGATCTACGTAGATCGTAGCTATTTGTATGCGGGTTCAACATTTAAGATTGCCATTCAAGTAGCATCTATTCTGGGCAATTGAAGTGAAAATTCAAAAGTGTTTCGCTGGAAGTAGTGTACACATCCATTCATCCACTCGAACGGGACACTGACGCTCTTACAATTCCGCCACTTCCCTGACCGTCGTCTCATGAAAAGCTGAGTGGGAGGGTTATTGGACATTGGGTGCGGTGCTGCCCATCAGTTTCTTTGGGATTCGAAGACGTGTTGTCCACTTGAGCGCAGAGTGAAGGACACTGACAATGCTATTGGGTCTTGGTTTTATCAACGTTTCACAGGCAGCCTCCAGCAAATCCTCCAGCATTCATCGCATGTTTGACTGGTTCATTGCGAAAGGAACACATGCTGGACTTGCTGCACAACCCGGAGCCTGAGATCTTTGGACGCCTGCCGGGAAGCCCATGATCCCAACAAGCTCGCTCTGTGGGCGCACAGCGTTCTTCCCGCACAGTGGCACCGTGTGGATGGAATTTTGGTCCACCGGTGTGGAGTTCGGGTTTAGAGGACACAACAGACACAACCAGAACATCATCCAGAACCATCATCCAGAACCACCATCTAACACCAAGAACCTTTAAGTTTTTTTGTGGGGGAAGAAGTACCACCATCCAGAAGCTACTTGTGGGGTGCCACGCGGTGAAGTGACCACCGTGTCTCTAATCTTGAATCTCTGCAATAGGTGGACTGTGGATTCTTCGATGTGGATGTGGATACCGCTCCTCATAAAGGCTTGCAACCCCTTGCTTCTATTCCAACCCTCAAGCAAATTCTCTTTTGTACCGTACCTGGCCCATCCTCTGTTTCTCTCTCCCTCTGTGCATTGCTTTGCCGGACCAAAAGCACACATGAAGGTGTGGCGTGGCGGGTCCTCGGCGCGTTCGGGCCCGCAGCGGGTCCTCGACTGCGCTCGGAGGTCGTCGCTCCTCTATGGAGACGACTCGGAGGAGGAGGGCCTCTGAAAGGAGTCGAGGGCCACCGCAGAGGAAATTGGTCGGAGGCGCTGATGGTCTGGGAAATTCGCTGGTGCTCATGATCCCCAAGGAATTTGGGGAAAAGAGGGCAAATTTGTGGGTCTGAGATGTTCCTGAATCTTCTTGGACATCTGAAGAGAAGGTGATTTTGATTGATCTTGTTAGGTTTTCACAGACTCTTCCAACTCCTCCCCGCGCTCAACTTCGAGTGTCTCAAAGTTTGATGGACACGCTCTTTGTGCACTACGTGCAAAGGATCTGTGCGAGCATTTTGTCCATAGACCTCAACCTCAAGCGACCACGCCTGAGTCGACAAACATGATGTCGCCTCCATCTGACAAATTGATTCTCCGTGTATGTACATTAGTATCTAAGCTACTAGGCGCAAGGACGCTACTACTTAGGGGCTCCTGGCCTTACTACTAGGAGCAAGGATGCTCTCGTTTGTCGGCGGCATTTTTTTGTTTGCGACAGCGGGCGGTTGTGCGCTTCAGATCACTCCCGGACCGATGGTCCGGCCCATCGCCACTTCCGCACAGCATCGCAGGGTTCCGCGCTGAAAGGCCAGACCCGTCGGATCGCGGGTTCTGCGGTCGTTTTGTGCTGCCAGACCCACAGTGTGGGTTCCAACAAGCGACGTTGGTTCCAGAGTCGGCGGCCAGATGAGACGTGAGGCGACGTCACCTCGTGCGGAGTCACCTCGTGCCGAAATGCGACGTGCCAGAAGCTGGCAAGTCCTCGATCCAGCTCTTTTTGCTTCTTTTTGGCAGGGCATTTTCACTCTGTCCATAAGGCACATGTACACGAACAGTTTGAAGGCCCTGTGACTGTGACCTGTTCTTTCTCACTTTGTAATTCCACCTCAATTTTCTTCCGGAACTTGCAGTGAAACAGAGGCTTGAGGCTGGGGGCTAAGAGCTAGCGCCAAGGACTAGCGGCTCAGGGCCAGTGTCCGAGGTGACTCCTTGGCGCATTGAATGGCAATCATCAGCAACCATAGAAGTAAGACAAACAAACAGTTTCTTGTTTGCTTATCAATCTTTTGGTTCATAGAAGCTCATTGGTTTCATCCATGTTTAATCTTTTGCCGCCGACTCGGCTTACTGCGACCGGTCTTCGCCCAAGCGGGCGATTATTTCAAGGTCGAAAGCTGAGGACACTGCAGCGGAGCGAGATCAAAGCAGTGCGGGTCAGCTGTGGGGGGCAGTGCGGTCGAAAGAGTTTTGTGGGCGTAGAATCTTGTCTTTGGATCCACGCCCATGCAATGTCTGTGTGCATGGAACATCGTACTTTTGGAGAGATTTCTGCGATGCCACTCAACGTTCAAGAGGGGAATCTACGTTTACACAACATATTCTCACACCAAGGAGCACAGGTGATGTCATGTGGACAGCTGTTCGGGTGATGCAAACATACAGGAGTATTTTTGTGCAAGCACGGCAAACGTTTGCTGCAGGAAGACTCTTGTATAGCTCACTTGTTACAAGCAAAGACACAGAACTATATTTAAATATGTCCCAAAGACTGTCCCTTGATCCTCAAGATATTTCAGGGCGCTGAACGAATGGAGCATCTTGTGGCTCTCTGGCTGCTCCAGAAGGACATCTTTATTAGCCTATTTTGCAACTGCGCCTCACAGGACAGTTCGCGCGATTAGGGCCGCGTCTACTGCCTCAGAGACCTCATGGGCCCAACACTGTGTGACCGGCAAATTCCAACCCACCCACCCACCCATCCACCCATCCACCCACACCTACACCTAGCAGACTCTGATGAGACATCCGCCCTCTCTCCAAGCCAACAACTGATACTGATACCCGATACCCCATGCCACACCAACCCCTAGCCCTAGAGTTCTCGGGACTTCTATTCTTCACGAACGCCGCGGCAACGCCGTGGAGCATGTTCAAAGCCCTGGACCAACACGAGGCGGGGGAGAATCCTTCTTGGTTGAATGAGATCCAGATCCTGGGCCGCCTTGGGGTTGGAGGTTGGGGTAGACAGAGGTGTTCAAGAAGTTGTATATTTGCCCCCTGTAGTTGCTTTAGGAGGGCGGTGAGATTAATTTGAACGTGCTTTTGGAACCTGTGGAAAGGAGGTCATGTTTCCTTAATACGTTTCATTAGCCAAAATGCCTTGCCATTTTGGCTCAAGATTGTCTCAAGTGAAGCACCAGGCTTGGACCCGCTCTCCTACTCTCCTATTTGACCCCCATGGCAGGAACTGGCTCTGGAGAATTCTTTGGCTGGTCGAATTTGGACGGCGCCGAGACGGTGACCTCCTTCACCATCGAACCCTCGGAGGCCGACACCAGAGACAAAGAGGAGGCAGTGATTGAGAATGCGGGCTGTGTTGATGACGCCCCACCTGTCGGTGATCAGGGATGGGGCAGCCGGGGAATGGAATGAAGTCGAACAAGCAGCCGGTGGACTGCAAAGTCAAGGGGGCGGAACTGACCATTGATGGCGCGGTCTGGCACCTGAATGTGGTCCACGGGAAAGAGTTTGCCCCAAACCTTTGAGTAGCTTTCTCTTCACTTGCGGCGTCTATGGACCCGTTTCAGGGTACCCGGTGTCCGATTTCTCCTTGGGTTTCACGCAGGACTAGGCTGGGTGGCGTTTCAGGGTGCCATCCCAGTCCTGCTCACTATTTTCATGAGATTTCAACCCAAGAGAAATCCAACCAGCCAGCAAAAGACAGCGCATGTGTGCTTTGCTGTTGGTTTTTTTGAGTTGATGCTTAAGGAAGCAGATGTTGGAACATGGTGATTGCTCTAAAGACGTTCGACAAGGGGTGAAGTGCACAATATATATATATATGTATATAGATCGATATAGGCCACCAAATAGATAGGACAGCCAATTCGTAAATCCCCAACAAAATACATTTGGAAACGTTTCTGGTTTTGGAGCCACTATAGTTGAAACTTCTAGTTCTGGGGACAATCCCAGCCGGCCTTTTCCCAGAGTTCACTGTCAGGCTGATCTGACTCCAGAGAACGAAGCGCTAGGCGTGCAAGACATGTACAACGAAGCAACACTTGGGATAGTTTGCTTTGAACATTCTTGCAAAACTGATTCTCCTGAAAGGCAGAAGTCTATGCCCTTTTCTCCTTGTTTTTGATCATTTTTGGGGAAGGGCGCTTTGGCTTATGCGGGTTGCATGGGTCCTTCATTTATAGATCGATGCATTCCGATCAGCAATCACGGCACATCGACGACCGCCGTGGGATCGGTGGGTTCATTGCCGCTCCTTCCGCCAAATTTGCATCGCCGTCCAACGGATCTGTGGGAAATTCAGCGCCAAATTCAGGTGTCTGAAATCGGTTTTGATGATTTCGTTTTTGATGTTTCTTTGGGTCCACTAGCTTTCGGCCTGTGGCAGCCCTAGACCTCAAGTTTCGCAAGATGGCCGTTCGTTTCGCTGGTTTCAGAACGGTGTCCCGTACGCTGAAGAAACAATGTTCAAGTTGTGTTCCTTTCCCTAAGATCAGGCTCAAATTCCAAGGACCATTGCTGACCAATCCACTTCTGAGCCATCATGTGGGATTTATCTTGATGGGAGTCTCACAGTGGATGGCCCTGTAGTCTGTGTTTATCATGCTAAGCCTGCCAGCCACGTGAAAGGATGGAGAAAATCGCCCAAACACAATGGCCTGGCCGGTGTGTTTTCTGGCTGTTCTCGGCCAGGTGAGGAATCATCTGCCCTCAGGAGGGTCTTGTTTTGCTTGCCACATGGATGGCAGTGGACACCGGGTCGGATGAACATGCTTCCTGCTTGTAGAAGAGCAAGGAAAGTGACCACTGCAAGGGAAAGGCACTGAAAGTGGTGACTCATGGTTTGAACTTTGAACATGTTTGAACCACATGGAACAACCGATATGAATTTCGCCACAACAGGAGATTATGCACCTGGGGTGCTCTGGAAAACCGACCAGTACTCGTGGAGAGATGCACATTGTGTGAGGCCAATGTATCACTCCGTGAGCTTCAGATGTTACGACTAACCGTGAATTGAGGACTATTCGGGTGTGCAAATACAGACTTTCCAAAACCGAGGTTGAACTCCCTGGTCGACCATTCTGTTTGTTTTGTGGGTTCCAACATCAGGTTTTCGCCCAAAGCTATCTCCTCTCGACTATGGACGTTCCGTTTGTGGCATCATAGTGAGCCCTGAGTCATGGTAGAGACTTTCAGTGTGGCTCATCTTCGGGATATCTTGCACGTCCAGATCTATATAGATCGCGGGATTTGTAGTTATCACTGATCACACGTTCTATTCGCGGAGCTATACGTACGATTCTGACTATTCTCGTGTTGGAGGACAGACTGGATTCAGACTAGATTCATTCAGATTAGATGTTTTCTGAATCGTGACTAACTATTCTCTTGTACGTGTCTGGATAGTTCCCTAGATTGTTTTTCAGACAGTTCTCGCTTCTAGGAGCGAGGAGAGCACCGAGGAGAGAACCGAGCTGGTCACTGTGACGTCAGGGCCTTCCAAGGTTGCAGGCGTCGGTCCGGGGCCGTGGGGTCGTCATAACCGCGGTTGGTTTCACGATGTGACCGATGTTTCTACTAGCTTCTTTCTCGTTACTACCCTAAGAATCCGGGCCCTCAAACACATAGGGTTTTGAGGGCCCAGACCCCTACCATTGAGGGTCCGACCCCTGCCATGGAGAGCCCAAGGATTCTTAGGGTAGTAGTAAGGCACTTGTTCCTAGTAGTAAAGTAATTAGTGATTCAACTTTTTTCAATTGCCGTGTCTGTGGAGAGTGAAGATACCTCCTGTGCCGGTGCCGCTCTTGCTGTCCAAGATTCCTTGAAACTTGAACCAGGGTTTTTGTGTCAAATCGTCGGTCTGCTTGCGTCCGATGAAACGCGAGATGTTGGCATCTCTCTTTGGCGCGTGCTTTTGTTTCTAGTGCGGAACACTTTAAGACTTCTTACCCTGTGGCGGTAAGGTAAGGGGGAGTCTGGAGCTGCAAGTAAATGGTGCAGAGTTTAGCATTTAAGGCTACCTACTTCTTGATTCTTTTTCTTGCTCTCTGTTGGTGTCTCTGCTGGTTGGACCATTCTCATTGGATGAAGCAAAAGGAACACTCAAGCCTCTGGCAGACCAACAGGAACCTTCAAAACAAATGGATTGCAAAGACATCTGACAAAAACAACACACATATATATATATATATGTTTAATAGTCTTCCAGAATTTCGCTTTCAGGACCCATTTTGTTTTTTGAGTTTTTTTTGTTTTGTTTTTTTTTCAGATTGTGCGATGACCCTAGTGACCCGACACGAAGAACTGCCCAGGCGACGCCTTTCGGAGGCGCCTTCCGGT